GTAATGCTATAATGTTGTATTAGATAATTACATATGGGGGAATTGGATGTGGTAGATAAAGGAAAAGGAGACTCTGTGAGAAGAGCCAGAAAGAAGTGACGGACACGAAAAAGAGAGGGAGCGAGAGATGGGGAAAGAGGATGGGGATGAAGGAGAACGGAGAGGGGCAGAGTGAAGGGAGGGGATGGAAGAAAGAGGATTTATTGAGGCTGCAGGGAAGAGCAGCACGATAGCTCTCTGATGGATTAGAGGAATGTATGAGAAATGGAATGAAGAGGGGAGAAAGCGCAAGGAGAGAAAAGTGAAGTTTGTGGGCCTCCTTGGGGCAGCTCTAAACACTGGTATCATTAATGTAGTTTAAAGAAGTGTACTCACCGAGAAGGGTCTTTTTTTTTAAAGGCCACCTGTGGGTATTAGAGAGGGAGGAATCGGTCAAGGGAGAGAGATGGGGACAGGGTGACAGTCAGATAGCGTAATGAGAAATTGAGTTTGAAAAAGAGAAGAGATATTGAAAAAGTAGAATCAGGAAATTGCCGTGACCATTGGCAGATTGGAGAGTGTGTCATGATTTCACAATAGGAGAAGAAGGACGGGTATTAACCAGGGGAGGACAGTATACTGCCTTTATTTCACTTCACTTCTGCTCACTGCAAACCAGATCAGTAATTCTGAGTGTGTGTGTTTGTCAGTCTGCTGGTGTGAGAGTATTTCTTTGGTCCAACACTTTTCTGCACGATTCTGTGAGAGGATTTTCTATACACTTCATGGCAAATAAATATTTTATACTTTAAAGGTAGCAGATACCCGGCAGGCACTCAAGATATTCTCTGTATTTATCTTCAACAGTCTGTTCTTCTGTTATCCAGCCAAGTCAAGTTTCTTTGTCTCGCTATCCATTCAGCCCAATGGAGGGAAACTGGAAACAAAGACCCCAATTAGTCAGGCAATTAGACTGCTGTTTTGTGTCCTCTACTCATCCTCTGAGTCACACACTAATAGTTATTCTTTCCTCTTAAATCTCTCATTTGCCCTTCACTTGTTCTTTAATGTTTTTTCCCCTTTTCTTTTCTGGCAGGATGCGATCAGTGATCAGTGGTATTCACTGTAATGTATTTTTTCCTTCAAAAAATCATTTATAATTCCCTGTGGGTTTTTTTCTTTCAGTTCGTTTGCTATTTATCGCTTCTCCTTCATCTTTCTTTCCGTCTGTGTCTTTGTCACTTCATCTCTTTCGTCCGGAGCCTGCCTCATCATCCATCACGATTGGTGTGACCAGTCCTCCTACACTGTTCCTCTATGCTCTTTTGTTTGCCTTTCTCATTCTCCATCTTTTGTTGCGCTCTTTCAGTTTTATAAAACACTTTGAAGTATCTCAAATTCTCTTCATCATAATTTGTCATATTCATTTTTGAAAACTTATTCTTGATCTTTTTCCGGTTCTTTATTTCCCCCCCCCAAAAAAAATCTTCATATTTTTCACACCAGACTGAAAACAGAAACAAGGCAAAGATACAAATTTATGTTAAGTTTAAAACAGGAAATAGCTATAAGCCGAAAGCTGCCAACAGTTATTCTCTCATGGGTAAACAAATATATGAACAGTGGAACAAAATTACACAAATCAAACGTGAAATGGCCTACAAAATGACTGTGAAGTTATAAAGGGAATAGATAAACAAGCAACAGAAAAGTACGTGAATAAAACTTAATGTTCTGCTCTCTTCATATTTTTCCATTATTTGCTTCTCTGTGCGATACGTTTTTTTTCTTTGTCTTACTTTGCCTTTGTTTCAGTTATAGTTTTGTCTGCTGTCTCTCTGTGCGTTTGGTTTTTCTAGCTTCTTTTAACTAGTAAGGGAAGCAAACCTGTGCCGGACAAGTGTGCCGTGAATAGGCTTGCATCTGTAAGAGTGGAGCTAAAGGAAAGAGATGTCAAACGTTGACAGGCAGTAGTATGTTGTATTCAGCTTTTATTTTAATGTGATTGTCCTTCATATCTTTAATCAATGTAATACAGAAATATTGTGGCGGCAGGCTGCATCCTCTCTGCTCTCATATTAAATTATCCCCCAGATCGAGTCAGATTATAGGCTTAAGTAGACAATCTAATGAAGGTTCAGGAAATAGGATCATATTCTCTAAAATTATCTCAAGTTGTTTGGGCACAGATGTGAAGTGGATATGCTAAAAGTCCAAAAAATTGATTAGTAAGCCAGGTTGGTCAGGGGAAAATAAAAGATGGCATGTGTTAACCAAAAATGATATTTGGTAGAATTAGGACAGGCAGATTAGTTTCTCTAATAAATTCCCCTTTTTAAAACTGGTGTCTGATTGTAATAGTTTCATGTGACATCCTTCACTGTTTATTGCCTACTGGTCTCTTCTCAAGTCTCAATTACTCAATCCTGCTGCATATCTAACACTAACCATGATGGGTCTTTTCACTGTGTTTTTACAGCGGTGAGTTAAATATAAGATTTGTCTTTGGATTTTAATCACAGCTCAGCGTAAATCACGGGGTTATGAATGGGATGATGTTTGAATCGTTTGGGAGAGGGCAAGCAGGGTTCCAAAAGCTGAAAGTGGCACTTACTTTTCTGAGTGCCATTTTAGCAGCTGCACAGAGAGATATTCCCTATTCATGAGAGAGTGACCTTAGCACACTGTCACTGCTCCCGTGCACCTGCAATGATTTATTGGTTACAGAAAGCTGGGCAGCCGGATGATGCAGCGGCGTTTATGCATGGGGAGGGGGGGGACACGTGACCATCCTCCTTCAGCTTTTGTCCTTTTCTTTCAACTCGGTCAACAACATCAGAAATGAAAACACACACACACACACAGTCTAACTGTTAAGGGGTGTTTTAAATGGTAAAATATATGCTCAATTCCACCTAAATTCAACCAAGACATGTTGTTTCAATTATAGCTCTACAGTAGGGCAACGTTTAGATCAAAATTAAACATATGTGTATAAATTCTTGTCCAGATACCTGGACAAACTGATACACTGATGAGACTTTGGATACTGTGCATCAAATTCTTGCCTTCTGATGTTGTGCTGGAGCCAGTCTTCCAGTTTGGGGGTGGTCACAGCTCCTAATGCTGCTGTTACCACTGGGATCACTTTAGTCTGCAGGGTTTTGGTCAGTGGTTGTTGATCAATGGTCATGAGAATTTGCATAATTAAGATTAAGGAACTGACCTCCCAGCCCATTTTTCCTTCAGTGGGCTGGTTTCAGTCATTATGCAAATGTACTGTTTATAAGACTGGGGAAACCTGCAGTCAGCTGAGACTGAAGAAGTCACCTGGATGAGTGACGAAACATTTCTCCCACAAAACGCTACGTCCAGATGAACAGAATCAACTTTTTGGAGATTTAGTCTGCAGAGATCTATCACAAGTATAGGCCTCTGGTCCTATGTCTGATTGGTTGAGCAGCATGTCCATAAGATCTTAACCCTGTTCTTCTCAACCACTTCTGTCAGTGTCTCCCATGGACGCTTTAGGACTTTTAGTTCATATGAGCCACAGATATTCCTGTACACTGTCCCAGCTTGCATCTTACACCCTGCTACAATGTGTTGGATAATCTCCGGGGTACCTTTGCACAATCTGCAACCTTGGTTCTGTCGGCTATGGCTACTGAAGCCTCCATGGATCTGATCCTTAGTTTGTTCTTCTACTCGCATGATCAAATACTCTGTGCTGTCCATTAGGCAGGCTTTCTCTAGCGAGTGGTAGGATTTCTTTATGTCAGTCACTTCCTCTGTCTGTCATTGGTACACCCCATGCAATTTGGTTTTCCACAAAGCCATTCCTCTTCCTGTTCCTGTTATGTCTTCAGCTGCTTGAGACACTCTTGGAGCAGCTCATCTCAGGGGACTATCTTCGTGATGTATTTATGGATGCATCCATATTTCATCCTGAATAGTGGCTCTGACACTCACTAATGCTCGCTCTCCCTCTTTCCATTGTTCATAGAGCCTCAGGGTGTTGGACTTCAGGTGGAGATCTCAGTGCATTGTGAGGAGTATTCGTGTCTTGATGTCAGTGGCATCTGTCTCCTCCTGTGACCATTTTATTATTATTATTATTTTTGTATTCCAGTTGTGTATCTGCTGATCAGTGGGTCATATGTATTGATGGCTTGGATCTTATTCCAGCCATTCAGCTGGCTTCTAAGAACCTGTCTTACCTCCTCGGAGGTATCTGTGCATCCTTATCATGATTCCTCTTGGGTATAGTGTCAAGAATCACATATAACAAAATTATTTCCTTTTGCTTTTCCCTTATATTTTTTAAAATCACATCCGTCCTGCTTTTGTCAGGCTATTTTCAATTCAAAACAAAGACTTCATCAAAGAAAATCAGTTTGTATTTGTGTTAGGAGACAAACGGGAGACAGAAGAAAAGGAAGGGAAAACATCAAAGAAAATAGTCACAGGAAACAGAAACAAAGAAAGATCTGAGCAAATCACACGACACAAAAATGGTGGAGATGACTGCAGATAACACCAGAAATCATAGGAGGAAATACTTATCACAGTCCACGCATAGATACATATGCATGATGACACTAATGTACATGTGTGTTTTGAGGGGTAATGATGTGTTCAGCAGTGTTTTGGTGTCTCCCACGCAGTAACAGTTGGAGGCCTGTTATCCATGAAGTGTTTTAAAAACTGAAATATTGCATTATCACATTGTAAGAAAAAATATACCCAGTAAAACTTTAAATCAGTCCTCTACTTAGCCTAGCCAGGAGTTTCAGAGAAATACTGGAGCCTGCATAAGAGCAAAATATTAATTAATGCACAGCATCGATCGTGATTAATTCAGGAAATGAGGATTTTTAGATTGTGGCTTACCGCCATTTTTTTTGCCTTCTTGCCTGTAGGACAGCATATTTTAGATAGATTGACCCTATATATATATATATATTAGTAATGTTCAATATCTAATAATAATAATTGCTCTTTCCTTGTTTCCCGTCTAGTCTGATCTCATCCAGACGATACTACTTTGAGATTCTCCACAAGCAGGATGACAAGGGCTCGGATCACGTAGAGGTTGGGGTAAGTGTACCTACCCCGCTTCTGTGGTTTTGCCTCTCTGAGTACATCTTTTTCCTCACAATTATTTCGACTTCAGCAGTCTGAGTGTCTGTGTATGAAAATTGCTTCAGTTGTCTGGTGAAAACCTTGCCCTTTGACAGGAACATTTCCATTTAGTTTTAACTTGTACCCTGTGTTTAACAGTGTCAGAGTAGTGACTGAATAGAGAAAGAATGAAAGGAAATGTTTGAAGGCGAAAGCTAACCTTCACCTCCTTTACTGTGTATTACTTTGCATTTCTTAGTCTTTCAGTGTATTCATCTGTCCACTTTAACTACAACTTTATCCAATACATGCCCAGCTTGTTGGTGCACTGGCTTTTCCTAAAAGGCATAAAGCCTTCACTCACACAAAATCTCTCTAACTGTTCTCTTTCCAGTCCTCCATCTGTCATCACTCTTCAGCTTTTCCTTTCTTTGCATCTTTGCTCTGTGCTTCTTTCACTTTGATTCTGCTCTGCACCATTTCTCACTCACTGGTTTTTTTGCACCTCAGGCGAAGCAAAGAGATGAGTGAGGCTTAATTTCGAGATGAAGTTTCAAACGAGAGCCCATACGCCTCGTGTGAGCTTGTACTTTGAGTAGGAAGGCGGATGATAAAAAGAGATCACTGCTGTGTGCGTATGGAATGAATCTTTTAATAATCCTCAGGTTATCTTCATCATGGTGACCATTATAAGAGGAAGAACAGCAGCTGTACTCTTGGAGTTGAACTCTTCTTAAATAGAAGTTGTTGTTTTTTTACCCTCAAGGTTAACAATTTGTTTTATTTTTTTGCGCTTCTTTCTCTTTCTGTAGCCTCTGGTTGCTTTCCTCTACTAAATCAATTTTGTTACTTTCTGCATGATTGTATACTTTACTGTCCTGTCATATTTTTAGTTTCTATTTAAAGAAAAAAGGTAATCACTTCCCATTTTGCTAATCATTACCACATTTGCTAGCAATGGCAAACACTAGTACACCAATGTTACTGAATGGTGCTCATAAAGTACAGTATTGTACTCTGATCTCTCCTTTTTTCAGTCTACTGGCAATATTTCACACAAGCAGTTAAGTTATCCATTATTGGCAGGTCACAGTACTATACAGGTTCTGTGGGATGTTTTGGGTCATTGATGTGAGTGTGTTATGAACATGCTGCCACTGAGTTGACAGTGAGAATAGTGGAGTATATTTCAGTTAAATCTGCAGAAATACAGTGTTGTCCTTTTTACTGGGCTACTGACTGCTACTCGTAAATTGAAGAAACATGTGCCTCTGCAAAGGGATCCATCAATGTATAGTGTTATGTATGCATTGTGGAGATATTTTAAGCTTGTTCATTCTTCTAATGTGTTTAGTCCTATTATTCCGCTGTTAAGGACAAGCATGGTGCTGCTTTAAATTAGCTGAGTAATTAATTGCTATTTCCAGGAATCAGGCGGGGGTGTTGTTTAGATAGCATGAGTTGCATCTCCTCACTGTGCTGTCATTTTGTGTCAGACAATGGTGGCAAGCAGGCCGCCGTGCCGTTGCTGCCAGGGGTTCTAACTTAAATGGGGTATAGCCTGATGCAGAACTGTTTCTCCACTTGGCTTTAATTTGATTTTCACAGTCGGGTTTTTTTTCTCCTTTGGCCAAACTTCTGTGAACTGTAAATATACCGCACTAATCCACTGCTTTAAAGAAAGTGGGAAAGGAAAAAAAGTGGACTGTTAAACACTTTAATGGACCTTCATTTATGCCTGCAACAGTTAGCCAACCCTCGCAGTGCACCAAATAATCCCTAGAGGGATGACTGTCATTGCCGCCCAGCGACTGCAGGAATCAACAATATGTTATCCTCATACCTGGCGTAGATCAAAAGGTTGAGGTAACTCCAGCAGCAGGCAGACTCTAGTACAAGAGTAAAAAGAGAATACCCTATCCAAGCAACTATATCATAGCTATTTGCAAGGAGCTATAAAGAAAATCCTATTAGTTTCTCACAGTGTTCTCTAGGGCATTACACATAATTTTTTTTTGTTTTATATGAAATGTTAATTACACCATCTTCAAAACATGTATAGTATATGATTTAAAGCTAATCTGCAGAATGCTGTGGCTATGTCTAGTTGTGGTTACCTCTAGCAGCATACAAAGGACAACAGAGACAAGGTTATTTCTTTCTTGATTTCATGTATTAGAGGAGATTAAGTAATGGTATTGACCATTACTTGGACATCAGCCTACTGCAAAGTGGAAGAAGGGGAACAAAATGGTAATAGAATTAGGCATTAGACGGTAGATGTAGATGATGTAAAATGAAAGTAAAATGAAAGATGAGGAGAAATAAATTTGACCTGAAATATGAAGAAAAAGTAAGAAGAATGTATAAACGGTATGTGCTGAAAGCCCTTATCTGAAGTATTTCTATACTTTATGGCAGCGGTCCCCAACCCCCGGGCCTCGGACCGGTACCGGTCCGTGAGTCGTTTGGTACCGGGCCGCGAGAGTTGAGGCTCAGGTGTGAAATGTTTAAGGTTTTCAGCGTTATTTTGTTATCGTTTTTATCGTTAACTCTGTTTTCCTGGGTTTTTTCACATGTGTTATATATAATAAATCTTCTTTTTTTTGGTACCGTACTAGTTTTATTTTGTTGTATTTATCCGCGACACCTTAAAGGCCGGTCCGTGAAAATATTGTCGGGCATAAACCGGTCCGTGGCGGACCGAAAAAAGGTTGGGGACCGCTGCCTTATGGTATTCTTTCTTAACAGACTTTGCCAGTCATCCACATACAGGTAATGTGACTGTATCTACTAATGAATCAAGGCCACATGGAAATCCATCTCTCTCTTTCCATTTCTTGTTCTTTCTTTTTCTGCCTGTTAGCCAACTACCCATGAGGCTGTCAATGTGGGTTTCTACTAGTAGAAACAATTTAATGAAGCACATAAAAGTTATGCAGGAGCTCAAGATTGTGTGGAGGAATGTATGTGTAGTTGTGTGTATGTGTGGTGTGTCTGGTACACTGTCTTAAGAAGGCCCCTGTGTGTGATTTAACTGTGGAATACATTTCACACCTTGACAAAAATAGCAGATTTACCGTGACCATCCTAGAACAGCATAAGCCCAGGACTCACATAAATCCACTGGAACCCAGGCGCTCATTTGTTAAACAACAGATAGCGTGGATTCACAGCTCTTTCTCCTATGTTCTGTGGGAAGCGGCGATTGTATGGCCAAAGGTGGACTCGTTCCTCTGGGGAATTTATTTCTCTAGTAGCGATTCCTCTGAAGAAATGAGGTGGAGTAAATAGTGAATAATACACAAGCACAATCTGAACGTTCTATTTTGGTTAGAAAATAAGAGAGAAAATCCTTGTTTTGCCTGTGTTGGCATCCTTCCATTTCATTGTGGGTACGATTTAGGGAAAATAGCTGCAGGGAGGTGGAACATAAACAGCATTAGAGACAGGAAGAGACAGGTTCAGAATTCACTATTCGTTCCTCAAGGGGGTGGAAACAACTTTGTGTTTAGGAAGAGCAGGACAATATCTCAAGAGACTGTTAACGTGTTAGAGTAAGTAGACACATTACCAACCCACATTTCAAGTGACTATTTCCTCTGCAATCTGTGTGTACCTGCCTCTGTGTTTTCCTTCAGATAAATGTTTTTTAAAGTGATGGATTTTTTAAATGGAACGTGCGATATGACAGATGATTTAGTGAGCAGCAGTTTCATTAACTTTCCTAATTACCATCTGGATCTTTGTCAGTAAAACACAGAACCTTTCCACTCGCCTAATGGAAAACATCTATTGCTAGCACTGTGACAGAATGAAGGAAAGCTTTGGTCATTAAATGCTATGATTGAGAGAAAGAGTCGCAGGGAAAGGAAGAGAAGAAAGTCACGCCTTAATTAGCAATGGCAAGTTTATGGTCAGGCTGGGGTGAGGCATTTCAATGCAGGAATTTAGTGCCCACCAGTTAACACACACGCCCATGTCTGCACACACCCGTCTGCACACACCCGTCAACCCAAACTCTGCACATTCTGCATTTATTCAGAGGCACAACCATCACACAAGCACATGCAGGCCTCTCAATGTCTGGCTTATGACTTCTCTTCGCCATATAAATCTGCAGTCCAAGCAAACTGTTGCTGCGTGTGTCTTTTCTTACAGTTTCTTATTTGAGTTTGGTTTGCAGCTTTCACTCCTTTTTACCATTTCAAATACATTTTAAAGCTTTTTCTTATATCCTTTTTGTCCCATGTGTATATTTACATTTCTCTTTTTAAATAGGACATTAATTTTGAGATTCCTGATGTAAATCAAATTAATTTCTTGTTTTGTGTTTTTCCAGCAAATTCAGTACCCTATAATTGTTATTTGCCTCATTGTGCAAGCCACCATATTGCAATCAGAACACATTTCAGCTTTTGGCACCTTCACTCCAAGAAATCATTTAGTGCATATGAATTTATGGAAAAATTGAGAACATCAATATAATATTTACCACACTGACAGTCTTTAATTGCTTGGGATCATAACACTCCCATGGTATTTGTCTTATTCTCAAGAAGACAGTATGAATGCATGTAAGTACAACTTAAATGATTGCAGGGTGATTCTTGCTCCTAATGAGGATTAAAATTGCACGATGTACATTCCTCTGTGGGAATCGTTTATCTTTCTCATGATTGGGAAAATCGAACTGTATAGCCAATTATTATTCTCACTGTCAGTCTCATTACTAAAACCTCTGGACAGTCACTTACATGGGGTAAGCTCAGTGGGAATTAAAGCTGTTAGCAGAGCTAATCTTCGTATCTCTCTTCCTGTCTTGTATGTTGACTTTCATCTTGTCATCACCAGAGATGGGCAGTAACGCGTTAACGCGTTACTGTAATCTGATTACTTTTTTCAAGTAACGAGTAAAGTAAGGGATGACTATTGCAAAAACGGTAATTAGATTACCGTTACTTTCCCGTAGGAAC